TTAGTTGTATTATATTATATATATATTTACTCTCTCTCTCTCTCTCTCTCTCTCTCTCTCTCTCTCTCTTCTCTTCTTTCTCTCTCTCTCTCTCTCTCTCTCTCTCTCTCTATATATATATATATATATATATATATACATATATCAGGTATCACAGATACCAGGTATATTGATCTCTTGTACGATGAAGCCCATCTACCTGTACGGTAATTAATGAACATCGTCTATTTTACCTGTGTAATATAGGCCGTCGGCGTCGTTGCGCGCTATCACTGACTGGCCGCGCAGCATGTCGATGGGGCGTCGGCGCGTCGGCCGGGTCTGCTGATGGTCCACGTGACCCGCGCGACTTAGCAACGCCTGCGCGTGGCAAAACAAGTGCAGACGTACATCATTGAGAGAGGAAACCACAGAGAGCGGCGAGAGAGAGAGAGGAGTAGAGGCTATACTAGGTGTGCCATTCACGTATCCTGCTGTCTGCAGAAGAGGCATGGCCCACTGTAGAGGCGGGAACGTTGGAGTGAGGGCATTCCCAGTGTCCCGGGTAGATCAAATCGCAATTCCCAGCTCCCTCAAATCTCACAAGACCTAATGTTAAAAATTTACCCGGAATTTATGAGGTCTCAGATAATTAAAATGATCCAATTCTGCGTCCCGAAAATAGTGGTTAGAGTAGTCCGATCTATGAGATAAAGCTCATGTTAGGAAATATGGTTCCCCAAAGTCACGAATTTCCCATACGCGGTACACCGAAGTCCAGTCTAAGGTAAAAATGGTAATGTTAAGACTAATGGTAAGACTAATTTTTCGTTCTGACAGCAGGGTTAGGGTTAGTGTTAGGGTTTGGGTTAGGGTTAGGGTTAGGGTTAGGGTTAGGGTCCCCTCGCACCTGCAGAGCGGAGGTTCTGTGGTAGGATTCTAGCGACCGCGTCATGTCTCCGTCGCTCTCCGTCATCGCTGCCACAGACGACACGGCGGCGCCTCGCATCGCCCGCACCTGCTGCAGCTGCTTGTTAGCCTGGTCTATCTCCTCCTCTAGCAGTATGATGTCCTCCTGCGTGTGTGTGGGGGTGAGCGGGATGCAATTTTTTTTTCCCCATTTGAGTTCCGGACCACAGCCAATCAGCGCACTCCATTCACTCGACTTCCTCGAAGCAACAATGTAAAATAAATAACCACTATCCCTAACCCTAACACGTAACCGAACCCTAACACTAACTATAATCCAATCATATATATAAGAACCATTTATTGCAAAACACTATCTATGGTGGGTCCGGAACTCAAGTGGGAAAAGAAATTTCGCGAGCGGGATAGAGAATCCGCATTACTACGACCTCTCGCTCTCTCTTTTCCTCGCTCTATCTTTCTCTTTCGCTTTCGTTCTCTTGCTTTCTTGCTCTCTCCATCTTTCTCGCTCTCTCTCTCTCTCTCCTCACCTCTCTCTCTCTCTCTTCCTCTATCTCAATTTCTTGCTCTCTCTCTCCCCCTCTCTCTTTCTCTCTCTCGTTCTCTCGCCCACTATCTCTTTCTCTCTCCTCTCTCTCTCTCTCTCTCTCTCTCTCTCTCTCTCTCTCTCTCTCTTTCCCTCTCTCGCTCTCCCCCTCTCTCTCTCTCTCTCTCTTCCCCTCTCTCTCACTCTGTCTCTCTCGCTCTCTGTCTCTCTCTCTCTTGCTATTATCTATGTATCTATCTATCTATCTATCTACTATATGCTAGCTTACTCTATCGTTATGTATATAGTATAATATATATATCTACCTTTTAATACGTGTGAATGAATGTGAAGCATATATAAATATTTTACCGGATATTGTACCACACGCACGGAGGGTGGGGTATCAAGCTGACTCTTTGCTTCCATTCCAGGGCGATAGATGACGTCATGTGCGCGATCGCGTCGCGGGCGGAGAGGGATGAGCGAATGTGTTCGCCGATGATGTTCCTCTCTCGTTTTAAGAGTTCGAGCAGGGCGGAGCTGGAGGAGAGTTGGTAGTTTAGTTAGCGCAGCGCCCACAGCAGCGCGTGTGAGGTGGAGGAGAGGAAGAGGGAGAGAGAGCCGGAGGAGAGAGAGAGAGGAGAGAGAGAGAGAAGGGAGAGAGAGAGAGGAAGGGAGAGAGAAAGGAAGGAGAGAAAGAGGAAGAGAGGAGAGAGAAGAAGAGAGGTTGAGAGAGGAAGCTGACGAGAAGGAGGAGAGAGAGAGACGGAGAAAGAGAGAGAGGAGAGAGAGAGAGAGCGAGGAAGAGATGAGGAGAGAAGGGAGAAGCGTGAAGTAAAAGAAGTGGATGTTAAAAGAGAGGAAGGGTGTGTAAAAGGGAAAGAGGTTGGAAGTGAGAAAAGAGGAAGAGTGCTGCCACACGTTCAGCACAGAGAGGTTGGTGTAAAGAGAAGGTCGGTGATGAAAAGAAGGAAGAGTGGAGGGAGTAAAAGAAGGCGTGTAAAGAAGGTGATGTAAAAGAAGGTGATGTAAATAGAAGGGTGTGTAAAAGCAAGGTGGGTGTAAAGGAAGCGTGTGTAAACGGAAAGTGGTGTGTAATGAAGAAGGATGTGGCAACGAGGTGGAGTAACGAAAAGGGGAGGAGAGAGGAGAGAGAGTGAGAGAGAGGAGGAGAAGCGAGAGAGAGGACGGAGAGAGAGGGGAGTGCCGGGAAGAGGATGAGCTTGAGAAAGAGAGAGAGACAAGAGAGGAAGCAAAATAAGGAGAGGGACAGGAGGAGAGAAGAGAGAGGTGTGTTGAGAGGAAAAGGAGAAGGGAGGAGGGGAGAAAGAGTAGAGAGAGAGTCGGATTCCCGAGAGAGAGAGAGGGAGGAGAAGGAAGGGGGAAGTCAGAACGGGGGAGGTACGGGCTAAGGGAGAAAAAGACACGAGAAAGCAGAGCTGATGAGAGAGAGAGAGGCACCTGAGAGACGAGAGAATGAGCCGAGCGAGAGACAGACAGACAGAGGGGGGGGGCGGAGAGAGAAAGAGAAGCGCAGAGTGGAATAGCGCGATTAGACAGACAAAGTTGGAGAGAGATCGAGATGGGGGAGATGAGTCCGGAGACAGTGAAACACACTCTGCGGGTGCGCGCGGCGCAACCACACACACAGCACACCCCACAGCACAGCACGCAC